TGTGTGTGTGTGTGTGTGTGTGTGTGTGTGTGTGTGTGTGTTGAGATGGGGTCTCCCTGTAGTCCCAGCTGGCCTGGAACTAGCTATGTAGACCAGGCTGATCTGGATCTCACAGAGATCCACTTGTCTCTGCCTCCTGAGTGCTGAGAATGAAGGACACACCACCACACCTGGCCTGCTTCTCAGCAGTTTTAACCAGATCCAGTGAAGTAAAGAGACTGAATTCATCTAATAGTCTATAGCAATAGACATATGTCCCCAGATGACCAGACCAAGATTTCATGCCTGGAACATTTTCATGCAAGCATGCAGGTGCCACTATGCACTGACCTACTCCAAATAGGCCCAATTGAGGCCACTTTACCCAGTGATCCTCAGTCTCTTCTCTGACCTAGGCACCCCTGGAGTCAGTGCCAGGCTCTGCAGTCAGGGTAGGGATCCCAAGCAAATCTGCCTTCCTGATCCTTACCCTTATACACAGTCACATCGCAGCTCTCGCTAAGCATGACCTTTGTCTTTGCAGCCGATGACTGCAAGCAGCTCATCAAACTGCCCAAGGTGAAGTGCATCCGCAACAATGAGCGGCAAGGTAGGCCGTGCCATGGGTCAGGCTAGCATGTGAGTGGGAGCCAGGGATGACTGGTGTGTGTTTGGGTGCTCAAGGGAGTGCTGAGTATCACTTGGTATCACTATGGTCTTACTAGACACTGGAGCAACAGTGGCACCCACCTGATCATTTGTCCCTGACACAGGTCTGGTGAGGTCTCGGATGCGAGGTGCTGACATTGCTCAGGGCACCACTCTGACATTCCTGGACAGCCACTGTGAGGTGAACAGAGACTGGCTGCAGCCCCTGCTTCACAGGGTCAAAGAGGTAAGTGGCGCTGAGGAGGAAGCAGAGGTGTCGTTCCCACCTTCCACTTCCTCCATGTCTCCCAAGCTTGTGGCGTCACATAGGGAGCTGGGTAGGACAGCTTGCTGCCCTCACTTTGTAGATGAAGGACTAAAGCAGCCTGTACAAGATCACACAGAAGTCAGAGGTGGAGCAGTGGCTATTTTATCATACTGTTACCCACAGCTGCAAGCCTGAAATTGAGGCGGCCAGCAGATCGTGCATGGCATTCAGTGTCCTGGCCAAGAGAGAACTGCTTAGGACCGCTTTTACCAAATAAGAAAGTTCCAGAAAGGGAGCCCTACTGTAGCTGATGAAGCAGCAACATTAACCAGTTCTTGAGGCCTCTGTCTTTCTTCCACACACTTATTATCCTTACCTGGCAGCCTGGGCCAAATAGATAGGCTGGATGCTGAGACAGGAATGAGGCCCTTGAATGGTATTGCTGTTCTATGTGCTGCTTTTCTCCAGGCCTCAGATAGCACTCTAGAAAGTGAGACAAGGTTTTATTTTTCTCTTGATATTTTCTATCCTACTCCTCTACTCAACCACAGAGCAAACAGCGTGCTGGAGACCCCAGTATCAAAGATACAGGCTTGTGCTGCCTGTCACTCTTCCCGAACTACTGGGTCACACAGCTGGTGTATGAAGTAGGAGTCAGGCATTTGTAGCATACCCATTTCTTAGCAGTAATAGCTCTCAACATCAGAACCTTGATGATGGCTGAGCAGCAGGTGACCTGTGATGGAATTGCTTCTTCTGGCTCCTCCTGGCTTCTCCTCCTTTGACTCCTACCTACATAATGATGCTGTTGAGAGGAGGGAAGAACCAAGTGTGAAAAGTGCTCAGAAGAGAACCAAAAGGTCTTTGCAATGGTGTCCATCCCATAGAGCACCCTCAGCAGGTTGACAGAACTCTCACATATGGGCCCAGATGTCAACACCAAGCAGAGACTGCTTTCTCTGTGTTTGGGAGAACTCGTATCCTTGGTGTTGTTTAGAAGGATTTTCTCACAGCCAAAGAGATCTGGATTGGGAAATACTGCTATGAGCAGGCCACACAGTTGAGGAGCTGGCACTGAAGGCCTTCCCAGAAGCACCCTTCCATCTGTGTTCTTCTCCTTAGTCTCTCCAGGAGTCTGTGCTGACACAGCTGAGCTGCTCCTCATCTTGACTGTGCCGCTATCATTGCCATTGCCAGGGTCCCATCTCTAGTGTCTGTGTGTGATCCTATGTATGTGTATTTATGTGTGTGCATGCAGGTGCATGTGAAGGCCCAACATCGATGTGTAATATCTTTCTTCTTTTGATCTCCATCTTTATTTTTTGAGACAGGGTCTCTTATTGAACCTGAAGCTCATCGATTAAGCTAGACTGACTGGCTAATGAGTTTTTGGAACTGCCTGTCTCCACCCTGCTCCCCATACCACCAAGACTAGAGTCACAGACAAATGCTGCCCCACTCAGCTCCATGTGTGGGTTTTAGGGATCCAAACTCAGGTCACATATTTACACATCAGGAACTTTACCACTTGAGCCATCTCCCCAGCCCTAGTCAATTCCTGTCACTGATCAGGCCCTGCTGGTACCTGGGCACACTAACTCAAACCCTCCTCTTCCTCCTGGTTTTGCTAGAGTCTCCCTTCCTCAAGGAATCCTTTCCTGAGTACTTGATCAGTTAGGATTATTCTAGACACTCATTGCTTACTTTGCCCTCCATTTCCTCTTTTGGGTTTAGTTCTCAATCTCCCTTAACAGATGATAAATGTTATGAGGAACTTAGTCCTCTCCCTGTCACTACCCTGACTGATGTAGAATAGGTGCTCAGCTCAGTGCTTAGAAACAATCCTAAGAAGTCAGATGTGTTGGGGTGATGACATGGTTGGAATTAGGAGGAAAGCAGAGTCACTTCCTGTCCTTAAGCTAATTAGTAGACATTGGTTGAGCACTTATTTGGGGGAAGAATCTCAGTCTATATGAAATGGGTTTATTCTTACTTACTAAGTCTGCCATGGTTCCTGTGCATTGGCCCTGTAGTAGTTTGAAAATGATCCCCCCCACCACCACAAATGGCCAATACACAGAGTAGGTGTAGACCATGGGTAGAAGAGACAGGAAAACTCTAATAGAAAAGAAATTCTTTGTGAGGAGGAAATACGGAAAAACTTTGTGCATCTCAGAGGCTGAACACTCCCCAGCGGGAACCTTTATATCCCCAGAAAGCTTTGTGCCTGTGAGTTGCTCTAGGAAGCTGAGGGCCAGTGAAGTAATCTTCCTATTACCCCTATCTAAAGCTAAGAAGAAACTGGAGTAAGGGAATGTAGGACTCTTAACTGGGGAGAGAAGCTGAGGTTGGAGACAGTGTTCCCCACTTCAGCCAAGGTCATAAGAGAAGTGAATTTAAAGCTCAGGAGTGTAGTATAATGGAAACTTTGTTTCCTGGGAACAGAGGGTGGGAAAGAGGAGGCCTCGACCCCTCATTTTCCATCACAAAAATACCCCATAGTCACTGGAGACGCTTTGGAAAATATGGCACAGTAGAATGAAAACTAACCAACCAAAATTCTATCACATGAAGACATCGACTGTCTCATTTCTTCCCATTTAGGTTCATTTTCTCTTTGCAGAGGTGCCTTTTGTGAAGTTGTAATCATCCTGTATTTATGCAACTTTACATTCTGCTTTTTTCCCTTACCCATAAGCACTTCTGAGTGGTCTCTGAGGTAATTTAACTCTACCCAGAATGGTAGATGTTATATACCCTAATCACTCAGAAATTTCATCCTCAAGGAAGAAGTGAAGGGCTAGGGCGAAGGGCATAGACCTGTGCCCACACTGCTGTCCTCTCCTCACTCTGCCTCACCCCTTCAGAACCTCCTGCTCTTGCCTGACCTCCAGTGCCCTCCCAGGACCATGGGCCTAGGGGCTCATGAGCTGTTGGGGTCTGTTGGGACTTGGTCAGGGCTCAGAGATGATCCCTAGAGCTTTCCATCTAGTGCTGTTCCCAGCCTCTCTCCATTGCAGTAGTAGAATTGACCCAAGACCTCTGACTCTAGATTGATTCTGTGCTTGTGTCTGTATGTGTGTGTGCATGCACATATGTGTAAAACACATAAAACAAAACTGACCATTTTGGCCATTTCAAACTGCAGTTCAGAAGATTGCACATGTCTCACTACAATCTAATTATAAAGCAGTCTCATGCCCTCAGAGGGAAACTTCACAGCCTTATTCCTCCCTGCCACTGTGGGCATCAATCTGCTTTGCCCCGTGGACTTGCCAGTTCTGAGCATTTTGTAACATTGGAATCATATGACATGGCCTTTTGATCCTGGCTTCTCTCACTCAACATAGACTTGTGCTTCATACCCAACCATGGGTATGTATGTTACTACTCCTTTTCATGGCCCAATAATTATTCCATGGTGTATCTAGAACACGTTTCATTCCTGCATTCATCCACATAAGAGTTGTTTCCACATTTTAGTAATGTGAATAATTCTACTACATATAAGTTTTCACTTTCAGTGTCTGTTTTCAGTTCTTAGTGGATATATACTAAGGAATTAGGATTGCTGGACCACATGGAAATTAGATGTTTCTCAGGTATGGAGCTTCAAGATGACCGTCCTTGAGGAATGTTTTTATTTTACAGTCTCATATACGTATATACACAGTCTGGAGGATTTTCAGCCCCAACCACCCTCTTTCAGCATTGTCCTATTGAAACCTTTCTTTCTCAAAATTTCCCTCCTATTTGATGTCTTCTTTTTCTTTTTTTAAAAACTACTGAATTTAATTAAGTTTGCTTGCATAAGCATGAATAGGGGGTTGTTTACTGGAACATGGGCACCTTAATCAGTGACTATGCCACTGAGGAAAATGATAGGTCCTCCTCCAGTACCCATTAACTGCCACTGACCTTCGCTGAGAGGTGGGGCCTCATGAGCTCTCCTCCATGCATGAGGAAATGGTTATGGAACCAATCTTATACAGGTTTTGAGAAGGTAAGAATAGCCTTGTAGGATATTTTAAGGATGTTTAGCCTTAATGAGTCTGCATTCCCTTCTATTGAAATGATTCTGAGTCCATCTCAGAAAAGTCCCAGAGAGCTGGTCTGGTTTCTTCACCCACAGCCAGTCTTATCTGCCCACTGGCAGTCTTCATTGGCTTCCCAGATGGGAGTTTGACTTCTTGCAGACAAACACTCCTCTGGGAGTCATCCTATGATGGAAATTAGCTACTTGTTCCCCATCAGTGTCTGATTTCAAGATTTCACAGCAAAGAGATTAGTGTGGGGCAGGCACTAGGCTTAGGGTACAGAGTCCTCTGTGGCCTCCTGGATTACCCTGAAGCCTTGCCTCTTGAAACTACAAGATGCTCCCTGGGACAGTCCCAGGGGATAGAGGGTGTGAGTGCATGCCAGCTATGTTCTGCAGTTTTTGTTTCTTGTATGGGCCTTGTCTACACTTAGAATGTGATTTGATCTTGTGAGTGGCAGTGGAAATTTTAAACTGTAATTGGAATTTGGGCTTTTCAAAAATAGAACAAAATAAGAAAGAGGCTGAACTTGGTCTTTCCTAAGCCATCTTCAGCTGGCATTTTCCACTGTGAAAACCTCCCTAATTTCCCCTCTCTTCTCTCTAATTACACGATGATACTGGAAACACTCGCCAACTTGGGTTCTGTTTTGGTTTTAACATAGGTTTCTTTTTCCCTCCTCCTTCCCTACATATTTCTTTGGTAGGAAAAGATTTCAAGAGAACTCAATCCCTTCCACATTCAGTAATTTTATATAAATAATAGCTTACGTATCTATCAACACCTTCACATATACTTTCCTCTTTTGCTTTCTCACAAGAGCCCTATTAAAAAGGCAGGATCATTTTACACATAATAACTTGTCTTCACTTTATAAACTTACAAACAGAATCCCACGGTGTGCCAATTTACCAAGGCCACACATACTTCTCCATGGTAGAAACAGAATGGAAATCCAGATATCCTGTCAATTTGTCCCTACCCCACAGCATTATCTCCTTAGGGACCTCCCTCTAGCTCCTTGCATGTTAATGGTTTGAAGGTATGTCCCTCACCAGCTCATGTATTTGAACACTTGGTCCCCAGCTGGTTGCATTGTTTTGGGAGGTTACACACCTTCGGGAAGTAGAGACTAGCAGGAAGAAGTCAGTCCCTAGGAGGTGGACCTTGAGACCTATAGCCTACCCTCATTCCCAGTTGATCTCTCCCTGTTTCCTGATCCATGGAGATGTAGGCAAGCATTTTCACACTGCTGCTACCATAGCAGCTCCTGATGCCATACCTTCCTGCCCGGATGGACTGTCTCAAACTGTGAACCAAAACAAATCTTTCTTCCCTTAAGTTGCTTCCTGTCAGGTATTCAGTCCCAAGGGGAGAGAAGTAACTAATATGTCACACCTTCCCCCGCAGGCCAGCCAAGAGGTTTCAATATCCTAAATGGAATTCATCTACTGCCTGCTCATCTTCCCTAGACTGTGAAATCTGGCTTGTGTTTTCTCACAACAATTCCTACCACATTGGTCGTAGGCATGCTGGTGACTGCATGCTAGAGCTCTTCTGTGAGTTTTTGATTGCCCATTCATGAAATGGTTTTAATTATGTGAATCAGTGAGTAAACAAGAGGTATGGCAGAGTGGTGATTGATGGCTACTGCTTGATACATTCAGCTTCTTTACTCCTGGTAAGAGGAGACAGGGAGTGGAGATGGGTGGGGTAGGAGGAGTAGACGTGACCCTTCATGGGGAAAGGGAAAATAGGGAAAAGGAATAGTCCAAGATCAGTTCAGGATTTCACGAGTTGCCTGCTTACACCTAATCCTGAGTCTAACTTTCAGGATATAGCTTTTGGGGGCACACCACAGGGGCCTCTGCTGGGTTTGGTATTTGTATTGAGAGTCTCTCAATCCCTGAGTCTCCAGCATGAGAGGACACCCTGTTCAACTGTAAGTAATTCACAAACTCCCTGCCAGCCCTGACATAATATCCTCAGAGGGAGTCGATACCCTCTGTCTTTTAGCCAATGCTATTGAACACCTGTTGTCCACAAGGCTCTGGGCTGGACCTGAGGGACACACCAGAGTGCAGGATAAACCTCTCGTGTAGAGTGCTCTGGGTTGGGTGGATCATTTTTATAAAGTCTTCTGAAGTCCCTTTTCAAGGCTATGATTCTACATAGCACTTAGTTCCCAAATAGCCTTACTACCTGTCTGTTCTCCACAGACCAGATGTCACAGGTGAAGTGTGACAGGCGTTTTGAGACACAAGCCCTCAGAATGGTAGGAAACTGCTTTGGGTGGCCTGTCACGGTTCTGGGGCAGTGTCCATAGAGAGCCTGTGGCTGAGGGGCGTACTCTGTACTTTATTTTCCTTTTTTAAAAAAAATAAGTAGGGAGAGTTGTTTTTGTTTTTATTAACAAACAGGATTATAGTCTGGGATTCTTCAAGGCCTTTCTTGGGCTCAATAATTTGCTAGAAGTATCCAAAAGTCATTTGCTTGATTACAGTGGAAGGATTCAGGTTAAACTCAACAACAGGAAAAGGATGCCTAGGGAAAGTTCCAGCATAAGCTTTCAGTTGTCCTCTCCCAGGAGGGTTGTATAGACGGTGCTTACTTTTCTCAGCAAAAGATGTGTGACAGCCCAAAGGGGAGTATTGCCAACCAGGGAAGCTTACCTGCATCTTGGTATCCAGGCCTTTAATTGGGGGGGGGGGGGTCAAAATACTGTTAGCATATACTATTTGATGTGGCCCAAGTCTCCTAATAATCAAGAATTGTCTTCTACGAAGAGCATTCCAAAGATTTAGAGGTTACCCCTAGCAGCTGGGGAGAGACAAGGCATGTCTTTGAGCAAGCGTCAATCCTTTACTGTACAAGGATCACAGAAGAAATCAGTATGGCTGCAGAGGGCCCTAAACTTAACAAGTGAAGCTAGAAGGAAGACTGTCAGATTTAACAGAACATGTCTCTGACGAACCTTTTTGAAAAAAATATTTTATTTATTATTTGTATTTTATGTGTATACATGTATTGCCTGCATGTAGGTAAGTGCACCTCTGTTGTGCAATGCCTGTGGAGGACAGAAGAGGCTGTCAGATCCCCTGGAACTGGAGTTACAGACAGTTGTTAGCTGCCATGTGGGTGCTGAGATTCGAACCCGGGTCTTCTGCAAGAACAGTGTTCTTAATTGCTGCACTGTCTCTCCAGCCCCTCTCTGAACTTTTGATTGTATTTCAAAACTCAAGTGATAAGAGCCTCTTTAACAATGTGTGTGTGTGTGTGCTCACAGTTTGTATCCATACGCAGACACACAGTGGCAGTGGCTGGGGTAGTGCCCCAAAGGGACTGTGGCACCCAGACAGGTGCAGTGCTGTTGGTGAAGCATTCCTGACATCCCTGTGGTAGAAGCGAAGCTTTGGCAAAGAGCAATCCTTCCCACCTGGGCCGATTGGTTTTCAGAGGCACCTTGTTACTGTCAGAATGAGTTGAATGTGGGAGGCTCAGGGCCAAATTAAGTCTGTGAACTTAGAATCAAGCATTCGGTGAATCCTGAGCTTAAAATAAGAAGACAACCTCATTTGGGGGAAAGACTGAACCAGGAAATTAAATGGCTTCAAGGAGAAGCAGGGGGGTTCCTGCCTGAACTGGTTTAGGATGGTAGGTATAAAGGATGTCTCCCTAAGACTGGTCGGCCTCCCCAGGTCACATGACTCCCAGGGAGCCATTGGAGAGTCTCCGTGTTCTTAGATTGTTTATAGCACCCATGGACTGATATTCCCGCTGAGTACTCATCTAGAATGGAGAAACTCGAAAAAAAAAATTGGATCAGCTGCCTTGATAGTCCCTAGGAGTTGAGGATGTGAGCTTGCATTTTTTTTGAAAATATCCCCAGGTGACTTTGATGCTACAGACAAGGGTGTCCTAGGAAAGCAGCAAGTGAAATTGAAAAGCAATATGCAGGCCTATTTTTTTCTTAATTGGCAAAATAATTGTGCATATTCATGGGATACTGGGTAACATTTTGATACATGTATACAATGAGTAATGATCAAATCAGGGTAATTAGCATTTCTGTCACTTTAAACATTCATCATTTCTTTGTGTTGGGAACATTCAAAATCTTCTCTTCTAACATTTTGAAATATATAATGAATTATTAAAAACTGCCTTCACTCTATTGTGCTGTAGAACTCTAGGATTATTCCTCTTTTAGCTGAGTTTTGCTACCCGTCGTCCGTTCATTTTCTGTCCTCCCTCCCCAACTACCCTTCCCTGCCTCTGGTGATGTCTGTTCTGCTCAAGTCAATATCTCATGTTATCACTTACATGTGGAAGTAGTTTTGATGATCTTAGATGCCATGCTAAAGAATCTGAACCTTATCTTAGAGGTGATTAAGGTTTGGGCAATTGAGTAGCATAGTCAGATTACATAGTGGAAATACAACATAGGCAGCCACATACAGAAGGGAAGGAAAACAAGAAGAATGGGATGAGGTGGGGCTTAGGGACCTATTGCCATTCTCCAGGCAAGAGGGAATGGGAAAGAAGCAGTGCTAATTCAGAAAATCATTTTAGAATCAGAACCAGAACCTGAGCTGGTTGATGGGCAGAGTAAATCTTAACATAGTACTAGGGGAGGAGGATATGGGATGATCCAGTAATAGAAATGGGAACTTAGGGGAGGGAGCATGTGTAGGCAGAAGATGGTGATGCCATCATTAAGGGCTGAGTGAATGTGTATGGAGCTGGCCAGTGGCAAGTTGGTCTGGAGCTAGGAGGGAGCTCAGGACTGGGCATACAGATGTATGAGTATCTGTCTGCAGGAGACAAGTATTCATCCATTGGTTCATAGGCCTCAAATGAAAAGATTTGGGGACTCAAGTTCCCTGTGTAGGTGTGTGACTTTGCTTTTTGTGACTATCGGCTAGTCACCAGTTGATTGCACCATCTGCCTCCTCAGGTTCCACTGATGGTGAAAGACTTCTGGGGTCTCTACCTCCCAGTTTCTCCTTTCTCCCTGTGCAGTGCTCCCCTGCCCCTCTCCATAATTTTCACTTGGCCCCTGTGGTCAACAGGATGTCACAAGAAGACACAGGTAGAACTGAACCTGTCCAGATTCTTGGCATTTAAGCCTCAGAACCAAGAGGTCATGATGCCTAGTGCCCTATCTATAGCTGATGAACACCAAATCCAGAGATGATATACTTTTATCCAGTCCCACATGGCATGGCCTTCGCAAGCTTCCTGACTCTGAGCCAGGCTCTTCCCTGCAAACTGAGTGCAGATTTTTGTTTTACAGGACTATACTCGGGTAGTATGCCCTGTGATTGACATCATTAACCTGGATACCTTTAACTACATTGAGTCTGCCTCGGAGCTCAGAGGCGGTGAGTGGGCTAACACTTCTCCTTGGGGAGTACTTCACCATACTTCTCCTCCTGTCCTCCTCCTGCTTTTCATTTCAAGTGGGGAAAATGAAGGAAAGCCTGTTAGTGGTTTGACTGGAATGGACAGGTCTATAGTCTGTAAAATAATTCAGTTCAGCTTGACTCTTACACTTGGGGCAGTGAAGAGAAGTGCTGGGGGTATAAGCAGGATATCCCAGCCCTCAGAGCTCCAGATATAAGCCGGGGCTGCCCCTCAACCTGAGGACATGGAAAAAGCAAGGACTCCCTGGTTATATGGGGCCTGATTTGTTCTGCCACCTTGGCATTAGCACCACACTGTCCCGGAGACCCTGCTTCCCCTACTCTGTCCAGGGCCCAGTCTGCTTTCACCGAAGACTGACTTCTAGGGGATTCAGGTAGTCTGCATCAAAACCCCATGCTTACACTTTCCTAAGAGCCACAAGTCTTGTTCCATAAGTTTATCCTTGAGCCTTATGCCTGGGCTTTCCCTTTCCCCTTTGTTTCTTAATTCTACCCAGCAGGAACACTTCAGAGAGACTATACAGGTAGAGTGAGAGAAGGAAGCTTGGAGGGAACTTTGGTAGCCCTGCTATTGATCAGACCAAGGAGATTTGTCTTCCCAGGAACCATCCCCCCCACCCCCCGAACTGGAAAAGGAGTGGGATGAGAAAACTCTACAAATTCCTTGAGAAACCAAATCAACTGGGCAATGTCTATTTTAGGATTTGACTGGAGCCTACACTTCCGGTGGGAACAGCTCTCCCCAGAGCAGAAGGCTCGGCGCCTGGACCCCACTGAGCCTATCCGGTGAGTAAGAAGGGTGGGCTAGTTAACTCCACTTGGTCCTTCCTTCTGTCCCATGGTTCAGAGAGGTCTGAACTGGGCGCTCAAAGGACTGGGAGAGCAGGAAGAAAAGCCTGTGTCAAGGCATCTCCGTTTCTGTCCTTATTGAAGAGTGTTTCCCTCTTCACAGACATTTCTATCTAAAGAGTGGGGACCGGTAGAAACCTGTGCTGAGGAGTGGAACCCAACACTTCCCACCTTCACAAAGGCCATGATGTGGTAACTAATATGGGAGAGGCCAAGATTGTCACATTTGGGCCTCTGGTTAGGGAAAAAATCCTCCCCAGGACCAGTGGCCCCAAGTCTTAGTTGTCAGGATTCAGTCCAGAGAGGCTGAGTACATGGAGGCTGTAAGCACTCTAACTATAGACTGATACGAAGTCATGGCCGTGGCTACATGTTAACTCATCTACTCTGTTCTGTGTGAGAACATGGTAGCTTGAACTTGGGCTACTTGGTCATACTGTAAATGGCTCTGCCTAGCCACGTTCTCCATTTCAGCCCAACTATCACCCATAGTCCATGGTAGCATGCTGTCTTCCTGGTGTTTGTGGCCAATTGGGGAGGTTCTGGTGTAGAATAGAGCATGGCGGTTTAACCTCCTGTGGTCTTATCATCAAGAAGAGACCTTGACATTCTACATGACATGTTTTAAAAAAATATTTATTTATTTTTATTTTATGCTTATGAGTGTTGTGCCTGCATGTATGTAAGTACACCTGTGTCATGCAATGCTGCGGAAGTCAGAAGGTGTCAGATCCCCTGGAACCGGAGTTATGGACAGGATGGTTGTTAGCCATCATGTGGGTACTGGGAATCAAACCTGGGTCTTCTGCAAGAGGAGCCAGTACTCTTAACTGCTGAACCAGCTCTCCAGACCCTCTGCTTGAGATTGAATAGCAAACTTATCTAAGGTCTCTTGGGAACCTCCAGATTCAATTCTGCCTCAGGGGGCAGCAAAGGGATCTTAAGTAATTGGAAGAACTACAGAGATGGTCACAAGACTGGAATTTCTCTATTCAGTCACTTATGGATGCCCAAGATTATCCAAAAGCATTTGTGTTTCTGATGCCTCCTTCATTATAAATATTTGGTCATTTTTATAGAGTTGACTTAAGTTGAACTGAGGACCAGAGGACTGTGAAGAACTAAATGATGGTGTTGAGGACAGATGGGTGGAGTAAAACATCTGCCTCTTGTGCCTGCTGGCTCCTGTTCTCTCCTCCAACCTTCAGTATCTGGAGTGAAGCCAAGAGGAAGGGTAGAGCCAGATAACACACAGGACAATGTTCTTTACTCCTAAAGGGAAGGGAGAGGCCTCCCACTAAGCTGAGTGAGCATTGTGTTTCTCAGTGGCAGTACATGGAACAGGTTTGGATATGAGGAGAGTGTGCCCTACATAGGCCTCAGAGGAGTGGACCAAATCAAGGACAAAGATGGTACTGTAGATGCCTGGGTTTTCCTGCCTCTGCCTAAAGAGACAGTTTTAGGACATGAACATTGCTCATAATGGAGCTCCTTGTTTCCAGGATTAGACCAGTATTACAGGAGCAACAGGGTATCATAACAAAGGCAAATCTGGGCTTCTGACCTGCTCTCCAGGCTAAAAATCCCTTTACCGTATGGCCACACTAAAGTGGGCCCGAGGCCTTAAAAGGCTCACAACCCACCCTAGCCATTAATTTTACTGACACAAGTCATAATCCTTGTGAGATCATTTGCTTGGATCCCGCTACTTTTGCCTACCTGCCTTTCGAACACTTCGCATTCCTAGCAGATTCTCTGACATTTCTGTTAGCAGTCAAGAGCCAGAATAGGCCGAGTGGCATTTAACCTGCAAAGAAAGTGAAGAAGAGGGTGCATTAGTTTGCTATGGCTGTGGAAACAAGTACCACAGAGTGGGTAGCTTAAAAAACAGAAATGTGTGTCATGGTTCTGTCAGCATGGTGGGTTCCCTCTGATGACTGTTCTAGGCTCTTTCCTCTCCCATTTAATTGCAAATACAAATGGCCAACTCCCCTCTCTAGTCTCTACCTCTAATGTTTGCATGCCAATCTCCCCTTTTTATAAGGACCTTAGTCATTGGATTAGTACCCATGCTAATGATTCTATTTTAATTTGACTACCTCTATAAAGACTGTGTTTCCAAATAAGGTCACATTCTGAGATATTAGGAATGAAGAGTCAATGTCTTTCCTTTTGGGGTGAGGGAAATTCAAAATGTAGCAAAGGAGTAAAGACTTCAAATAAGGAAGTGATCCCAGTTTGGGATATGAATATACTGCTGACAGAGGCTGTCCTAGCCCTTCTTGGCCTGGTCAGTGGTCTGCTGTCTCTGCTTCTAATAACAGAGCCCCCTTCCTGGAGCCTCACTGGGAAGAGCTGGGGAAGGAGGAAAAGGTAGAGGCTCGGGGGAGGGGGGATGCTAATAAGTGAAGTTGCCTATCTGTATCATCAGGAGATTTACAAGAACAGAGTGAAACTTTGAAGTAGGTGCTTGTTTTCAATAACCAGAAAATTTATTGATTCTTTGGAAGAAGAGCAGATATTGGAAGAAAATTGCTTTGAGTTCTGAACTCCCAGGACAGAAGAGTTTGAGGGTACCACACCGTATAAATGATCTCCACCTTTCTTCCAAATACACAGGACTCCAATCATAGCTGGAGGGCTCTTCGTGATTGACAAAGCCTGGTTTGATTACCTGGGGAAATATGACATCGACATGGACATCTGGGGTGGGGAGAACTTCGGTAAGTGTTTGTCATTGCATCCTGATCTATGCTGTTCAATGCGACTTGGGGCCTGAGGCAGGGATCTCTGTGCTCCTAGACACAGAGATCAACTGAACAGTCACTAACACCTGACGTGTGCATCTGGGAAATAGGAGTCATTCCTTTGGGGGAAAAGCTGGTCAGGGCCTCAGAGCAGCAGCTGTAGAATGGTAATCACAGCAACAGAATTTCTCCACTGGAAGTATGGCTGCCAAGGACCAGGGAAGCATGCTGGGGCAGGTTCCTGAGAAGAAAAGTGAGATGCAAAATCCAGGAGGACCAAGAAGGAACACCAGGTCCATGGGGACAGGCACAGGCTTGAACTAGGAGCACTGAACTTGGGGAATCTGGAATTGAAAGAAGACTAAAGAGAAAGAGAATGTGGAACAGGAGTGAGAGAGGCATCCCTTCACATCCACAGTGATGGGTCAATGGGAGGATGTGGGGTAATTGCTACAAAAACCATGCAGGTAGTTTATCTTTATCTTTCCATGGCAGAAGAGGGAAGGGAGGTTGACTACTGCACATAAGTGGCCCGGACTGGCCACAGTGGTGCAGGGCTGATGTTTGCAGCTCCAATGGAAACATCACAGTTACCAAGTCCCGTTCCATGCAGCTGCTGACAGTGAGTGGCGCTCCAAGGATTCAGAGCACAACTTCATTATAACTGCCCTCCTTGGAAGGGGTGGGGGGTGCTGTGACTATCTCATGAGGTAAGTGTAGAAATGGTGACATCCTGTGGGCATGTGAGTTTCTTTCTAGTGGTGAGACCTGAGAGAGCATTAGAATACAATCTGCACAGGGACTATGTTGTGGTCTGCTTTGTCCTTGGGTATCACCAACCCTCAGTGTACATACTGCCTGCTGTGAAGGAAGCCCCAATAACTGTTGGTTGAACAAACCAATCACAGTAGAGTAAGAGGGAACATTCCTAAGTGTGGGCACTGAGGAACATGCTGGCATGGACTTGGGAGCAGTGCACAGGCCAGGAGAGTGATCCATGGACTCGTGCTGGCACTGAGCAGTCGTCCCTGGCATTTTCCACTGCCATTGCTGTCCCCTGTCCCCTGTCCCTGCCCCCAGAGTGTTTTATGGCTTTCTTCTTCAGTCACTAAGAATTATTTCCTGGAAATTTATGGCTTCTGGCTTGACCCACAGCATCTGTTCTCCCAAACTGGGCAGTGTAGGAAGAAATCTATCAGGAAACTTGGACTCTTGCCAGCTAGGGGCCAGACTAGAAGCACAGCAAACAAAATCAGAAGCCCAGACCCCCAGTACATAAGCCAACACCAAAGCCCCTCCTGAGACCCCATCCTAGAAGCCCCTATGGAATGTAATATGGGTTGCTGTTGTGTTGGTTCAAAGCTAGGTGTGCCTACATCAGCTCAGGTGACATTGGAGTCAGGTAGAGCCTGTCTTCTCACTGGAGCAGGAATCTCTTCCTCAGTCCGTAGACTCATTTATTTACATGCCCCCAAGGCTCACAGTACTCAGTAGTGAGGAGTTCCAGCCCTCCTTCCCACCATCAAATAAGTGCTCCCTGTACCCTTCTGATAATCAGCAGTCATCCAGTCTCTGCCCCCAATGCTACTCATAAAGACTCAGTCATGGTTTCACTATTCAGCACATTCTGAGTTGTGAATAATTTTGTGGAATTGTTGGAAAATACTTCTAAACTGCACCTTGCTCCTTCCAGCTTGTCTGCTGGGGTTTATCGTGTCCTCTTGATCTGCACAAGGTGAGGATGATCCCTTTTCCACGTAGCAGTCGCATTTGGATGCAGGCAGCATGACATTTTCAACGATGGTGCATTCTGGTCTGACTTACCAGCACCTTTCCTTTATAGCGATGTTAACACACATCTGCTCAAATCAAGAAGCAATCTCATCTAGCGGCTTCCGAGTCGTTTGGCATTAACAAGGGCTGATTTGAATAGAGAAGTTGGAAAAGGGTCCCTGGGAGGTGTGGGAGAGACATTTTAGAAATCTATCACAAACAATTTGAAACCACAGAAGAAACACTGCCGACAGCCGTCACAGGAAACAGTTTCCCTGCACCCCAACGTTCTATTATGTTATAGCCAGTCAACAGCACTTTGAAAGCCATTTCTGGAATTTAAAAAATATATATTTTTATGTCAGAATATGCAGTGTTTTTCCAAGGGTGGATAGATCACATGATCATGAGGACAGGGTAGTTTCTGCAAGGTGTAGATAACCAGGCCCCCAACTATGTGAAGGTGGGAACTCTACAGTGGGTCTATGTGATTGATCAGGTGTTGGGATGGAGGGTTGTGAGCAATGCTTTGGCTGTAAAAGAGGGATGGTTCCAAGGAGTGAAGGAAACTGCTTGTCAGAGTAAAGGAATCCTGACTGTAGCATATGTCAGAAGGGTCTCCCCACCTCCAAGCGACCAAGTCTTAAGGATTGACTGCTCTCTATTTTCCTCACACCTCTCCTCTTCTCTCCATCCCTGCCAGACCCCCACCCCTCTTTACTCCTGTCAAACCTGCCCTCCAGCTCCTGCCAAAGTGCTCTTTCTGAGTTGCAAACCTTCCAAGTCTGGGTTCACAGTGGCTACCTGTGGCTCCCTCCCATGGCTTTGCCTACCTCTTACCAGGTTATTCCTCCCACCTTCAGCCTTCAGTCCAAAGATTCCTGCAGGCCTTCCTGTACTCTCAGAATGTACAAACCCTCTGCAATGACTGAGCCTCCTTACCCACCCATTGTTAATCCCCCGTAGATGGCAACTCTGGGTGACCAATTCTAGGGTAGGATGCCTTCCCTGACTTCTCTTCCACTACTACCTTCCCCCACCACCCCCAAACACCCCATTTCCTCAGCACAGGGTTCTCTTCCTCATCATCACACTGACCCTCTATAAACTGTCTGTCTGGTCACCTCTGCAGCTGCCCTGAGCCCGGTAGCCTTCTGTTAAACCCGAGTTCCTTAAACCAAGTACAGAAAGTTCACCCAACTTCTGCTTCTCAAGGCCCAGAATAGTTGAAATTGCTCACTAAATGCATGTGTGAAAAGCGAGAGACTGAATAAGAAGGGATTTCAGGGTGGGAAGACAATATGGACACAGATGCATCTTTGGATTCCAAGACCACCCTCACACCCAAATCCATGGATGCCTAAGTCCTTTCATAAATGCTGAGGAATTTGCATATAGCCTATGTGCAAGCTCTTATATATTTTAAATCACCTCTCCATTATTCCTAATACTTAGTAAAATGCAAATACTATGTAAATAATTCCTAAACTACATGGCTTAGGAGAAAACTATAAGGTAAAAGTCTGTGCATGTATATTCAGGACAGACACAATTTTTTCCCCTATTTTCAATAAAATATTAATCCATGGTTGATTGAATCCAGGGCTGAGGATGGAGGGCAGACTATAATAGATGAGGGGCCATTTAAAATAGTTTTCATTGCATTCAATGGAGCCCTTTGCATATGTACTGTTGATTTTATTTCACAGCTCCAAAATCACATGAGATCATTGGCCAGGGCAACTACAGCAGAGCTCAATCCCCCCGATTCACTGTGCCCCATCTCCCTTTTAGAAGCATTGCTGACGGATTGGCTGTAGGACCATGGGAAAGCCACACCATGTTTTGGCTAACCTCCCCACTTCCCTGACCCTGGTGCTTCATCCCCACCAAATGTTTCTAAAATGAGCTGAACACTTTTGATAATTATATCCACAGTTTGGGATATAAACAGGCTTTAGGGAAATGTGGCTTTTAGATGGAATTTTTTTCAGAAGTTGATTTGCATTAAAATTGGATACTTAAACTACAATTTACATAACACAGGATACATGTAATATATCTACTTACTCTGAGCTGCATCTTTTAGCTTTTGGTCTTTAGAGGAAAAAAGGAATCCGTTGCCAATAACAAGTGTGTGTGCAGCAGGATGGGGATGGGGCTGTGTATTTCCCAAAACAGGAGGCCTTGGCATACATGCAGGGAGAATATGGGATTCCTGAATTTAGAATGGGGAATTTCCAAAGCGCAGCAGGCACAAAGGACAGTGCTGAAAAAAGAGATGAGGTGGAGCCCAAAAAGGACTTCTACCACCCACCATCCTCAGATCGGAGACTGGGATACCAGGCTATTCCAGGCCCACGGGATGTGAGTGGTACAGGAAGAATGCGGGCTGTGAGATCAGACAGGAGTAAATTTGAATCCTGTAGCTGTCACTAAGTACCCTTGGGAAAATCATCTCACCTCACTGGGCCTGTTTCTAGGTCTTGAAAATGGAAACAGTGTTCCCTGTGGCAGGGAGAGCAGCCCTCCTCTAAACATATTCACCCTAATACTTGGAACCTGTCAGGATATTACCTTGTGTGACACAGGGCCTTAGTAGCTGTGATGAGGTCACTAATCAATGACCTGAAGGTAGGGGATTGTGTGAGTAGGTCCAGTCTAATTATAGGACCACTAAAAGCAGAGCGCTTTTTCGGGTAGGAGGCAGAAAAAAAGAGTGGCACAAGTCAGAGAGATGCCACTCTCCTCAGGGATGTGACCATCAGGTGCTAGTCTGAAGATGAAAGAGACAACAGGAGTAGCTGGGAGAGTCTCTGAGCCAACAGTCAGCAACTTCACTCCTGCAGCCCCCACAAAATTCTGCAAACAGCCTGATTGAATTTGATGACAAATTCTTCTTCAGAGCCTCCATAAAGAGAAAGGGTCCTGTTGACACCTTGACTTTAGCCATATGAGATGCTGAACAAAGGACCCACCCAAACCCTCTAGTAGGATGAATCACTGCAGTAACATAAGAAAACCATCTCATCCACCTGTCACAGGACTACATGATGTCTGAAGATTTCCTCTGCTGCAGTGGTACTGGCTGCCTTCTTCTTCTGGCTGCATGTGACTAATGTCTGTTAAAGGAGGATGTGTCTGACCTGTTGAGATGCTTTAGTTCTTGTACTTTCTCTTTTGGCCTCACCTTTTTCATAGTA